AATGTTTTTAATTGTGTACCAGTTTAACGTTGAAAATTATTTATGATTTTAACTTTATACAAAAGTGCCAAAATACTATAATTAAGTAACTTTGCTGTTTACTTTGTGTTGTTGTTTTTCATGCTTGTTTCCAAATGTTTATGATGTTTTTGGTTGCATAGCTATGATATGGTAAGACACCTATTAGTGTATCTGAGTTTGTTTATTTTGTTTCCTTCATGGAGTTTATGTTGTTTTCTGTTATTGAGTTTCTTTTTATACTTGGCTAAAGTCCTAGTGACAATGTGTTTATGGAAGTGACATTTGTTGATAAGTGTATCAGATATTGATTCTAGTTCATCCTGCAGATTGCTGCTACTGCATATGTTAACTGCTGTCTGATAAATGCATGATAACGTGTCAATTTTTTGTTGAGTTGAGTGGGCTTATTCCCACTTTATATGGTTGTTATCATTATAAGATTTGTGGAACATTTTCGTGTTAAAACAGTTGGTGGTTCTTACTGTTGTTATATTTATGTAATTTAAAACCTGGTTTTCATTCTCTTCTTCATGAGTGAATTTGATATTAGAGTGTACGTTGTTTACGTGTTGTAGAAATGATTGTTGATGGTTGTCTTCAAATCCATAAAATACATCGTCGGCGTATCTAAACCAGTGAGTGGAAGGGTGTAGAACTGTGTTAATGATCTGACTTCCCACTCAAAAGCTGTATTTTGGGACTTTTATTTAAAGTGTATTTCCCCTCTTCAAAACAAGATTATATTGATGTCTTACAGACAGCTAAACATGTTATCTATATATCTTACAGAAGGTGAACCTAACGAACAACGGCAAAAATTTGGACAAGCTTACTTCGACGAGTTTAGTAAATCTTAAAGATCTTAATCTATCGAAGAACCCTTTACAATCGTTGAGAAAAGATACATTTGGCAATAATTATGTGTCACTGAGGATTTTGAAACTGAGTAACACTGAATTAAAGTCGGTTCATAAAGAAACATTCCGGAAAATGTCGTTTCTCCGCAGATTATATCTAACTAATAATTACATAGTTGAACTTGAAAACACAACATTCGACAACTTACCTCTGGCTTTGATTAACCTCAACAATAATCAATTGATGACAATCACAGGGCTCTTCGTTAACTTGCCATTGAAACATCTGAATGTGG